GACTGAAAGTTTCTTCTAGGATGACCTAGCACTTGCCACATGCCTTCTCAGTGTTGACATTAGAAATGACTGAATAAAGAAACTAGGATTATGCTCATGGTGATGTTCACTTTTATTCATGAACTATAAACTACAGATATTATACTATGAACCTAACATGAAATACATTAGTAAAGAATGTAATGTACGGACTAGACTATGCAAAAATTGGTAACTTCAGTGACTTCTGACACTAGCTAACCCAGAGTTAGGCCAAAATTCGCAGCTTCAGAGCACAGTTCTCCACAGGTCTTTCCTCACTCAGACCATCCGGCCACAAATTTGAAGGTTCCCATGACATCCTCAGGTTTGGTGGAACAACTTGGAGAACTCAGCAAAGTCCTGTACTTATGATTTCAGTTTTATTATAAAGTATATGAATCAGGACCAGCCCAAAGGAGGAACGCATAGGGCAAGGGGTAGGAGAGTCCCAAATGCAGCCTTTCCCTTGTCCTCTCCCTGTAGAGTTGGATGTCTTACTGTCTCAGGACCGTCTTATACTCCCCAGCCTTCTTCCCAGAAAAGGCTGTTCCTAAACAGTCTTGAATGTTGGTGTCAGCCTTAATGAGCCTCCTCTTAAAGATTTACTCCCATTATTTATCCTCACTCACTGTTATCACCAAACCCCACAGCCATCCCAGCTCCTTCACTTTTAGCAGATAATGTTCTAGGTAAAATAAAATATTAAGAGTTTATTAGATATGAATTTCCCATGTTTCCTGCCATTTTCCCTTCTGTTTCTGAGGACAATAAATATTTTAAAGGCTTATTCCCTTCATTTGTGCTTCTGACCCTATTTTCTCATTTTGTCCCACTTCACATTTTCCTTCTCATCCTCATCTTTTTTCTTCTTAAATCTTCTCTCCTTCCTTCATCTACTTCTCTTTGGCCTATACACTTTCCAACCTGACAGTCTTCCCCTAACTTTATATCTCCTAACTTTGTTGCCAAATCCAGTACAATCTTTTTGGTCCTCTATCTCTTTACTCATCTCTTAAGAGTTTAGTGTTCCTTAGGGCTAGGTCCCCAACCCCCGGGCCGTGGACTAGTACCAGTCCATGGCCTGTTAGGAACTGGACTGCACAGCAGGAGATGAGTAGCGAGGGAGCAAAGCCTCATCTGTATTTGCAGCCGCTCCCCAGTGCTAGCATCACTGCCTCAGCTCCACTTCTGGTCATCAGGCATTAGATTCGCATAGGAGCACCAGTCCCAGATGCCAAAAAGGTTGGGGACCGCTGCCTAGGGATTCTATCCAAAGCCCACTTTTCTTATTTACTGACTCCTGGGCAGCTTCATCTGTGCTGATAATTTAAAGCTTCCATCTGTACAGCGATTCTACCCAAATAAATAGCATCAGCTCTGCCTTCTCTCCTTAGGTCCAGGTCATCCAACTCCCTGTTAGATTTTTCCACCTGAGTGTCCTGAAGGCACCTTAAACTTAATGTTTGCAAAACTGACATCATTGTTCTGCACCAAATCCTCTTTACCCCTCATGTATTTCCTAGTTAGTGGGTAGCAAGCACCCACATCTTCATTGTGTCCTGTCATAACTATTTCCAACTCTCACATCCCTAGCCTTTTCCTTAACCACCCCTGTATCTAATTGGCTTCCCCCAATTAGTTACTTTCAGTTATGTTAACCTCTGTATTTCTAGTGGCAGTACATATAGGAAGTGGCTAATACAGCAAGGGCTCTGGAGCCAGACTGCCTGAATTCAAATCCTAACTCTGCCAAACTATTCTTGCAATCTTGGGCAATCTGCTTAATCTTTCTCTGCTTCAGTTTCCTCATTAGTAAAATGGGGATAATAAGAGCACCTACCTGATAGGGTCATTATGAGGATCAAATAAATTAATACAGTTAAAGCATTAGGAATAGTGTTCTGTGAATAAGTAGCTATTTAAGAGTTTGCTGTTAACATTATTGGTTTTAAAGTATATATCACAATCAGTAATTATCTTGTTTGTTTTGTCTGCAGTGGAGTGTAAGCACCTTGAATGCTGGGATCCTGTCTGCCTGGTTCACTGCTGTATCCTCAGCACTTTGAGCAGTGCTTTAGCATATAGTATCCAGTCAAAAGATTAGAGTGAATGAATGAAATCTTTTTTCTTTTTCAGCCTTCACCTCTTAATCCTTTGTCTAAACTCTACTCACTTTTCCATCACAACTCATAATATTTTACCTGCTAGAGCACAGTCCATCTATATTGTAGCTAAAATAATTCTCCATGGCTTCTCATAAAATAAGTTCCTTTATTACTCAGGCTTTCATGTTCCTCATGAAATCAAGACTAAACTTCTAATCTTAACTTTAAATGTAGCCACCCTTTAATGTTATTCTCCTGTTGTTTCTAGAGCATTTTTAATGAAAAATGTCAAGACCAGAAAAAGAAGGATTATAACATTCAGTGCTTACTACTCAGAATTAGCAGATACTAACTTTTTCTTATATTTGCTACAGACCTTTTAACAAATGAAATAACAAAGTCATCACTGAAGTCCCTTTTTAAAATCTCATCTGAAACCTTTTTCTTTCCCTCTCTACAGGGAATTACTAGCATGGAATAGGTATGTATTTTTCCCATCCATGCTTGTGTAGTTTTTAAATTCTTACCTAAGATGTGTTGTAGATATTCTGTTTTTTCACTAAGCATTCTTACATTCTTTTGGAGATCTATGTTGACGCAGCTTTAGTTCATTCTTTCTCATTGTTTTTCATATTGTACAATGTGAGTATAACATGCTTTTTTTTTTTAATCAATTTCTCTCTTGGTATACATTTGGTCTTTCTCATTCTTTGCTTTTAAATAAAACAACATAGTGAATATTTTTGTACATGTCTCTTCATGCACATGTGTGAGTTTCTTTAGTGTGTAGACCCAGAAATGGAAATGTTAAGCCCTAGGATATGAGAAATTTGAACTTTATTCAATATCACAAATTATTTACTAAAGTGAACTCCCAGTGTTTGAGATTTCCCATTCCCCATGCCCTTTCCAACTCTAGGTATCATCAATTTTTTTTTTTTTGTCTTCGACCCCAGTTAATATGCTCTAGTTCCATTAAATGGGATTCTTTTTCCTATCTTCCCCATTTCTCCACTCAGAATGCCACACATTCAGGTAAAACCTTCCTCTTCATATAACTTTTTTTTCTAAAAGTAATTTGTCCCATAATTTTGTAGGACTCCATCAAAAAATTATTTCCTCCCATTCTTCAACTTAACCAAAAGTCTTTTCCCCTCTTGAAATTATTTTTGTATATTTATTGATAAATGTAATAATTAACCACCTCTTTTGGATTTAACAAACTCAGGTCAAGGTAGTTCTTTCTCTTTTGCTCTTTTTAAATATAGCTAATACTTATTGCTACTCTTTGGTTATTGCTCTGGTTACTCAGTACATTTTTGTTGTATGACAGGAAATGGTTATAAATCACATAGACATTTAGCATTTTGAAATATTGGTGCTTATATTCTTCAAGTAACTGACAAGTGATTGATTCTCAAAATGTGAATTTCCACTATTTATAAATAAAGCATAGTTTTCCTACTTTTCTCACTAGGGGGCTTTGACGAATTGGCTATGTCAATTTATAACCTTAGGAAAAACTGATGTGTGTTGGTTTTGTGCGTTTGATTTATTTTATAAATGTGCCTGCCTGATTTCATTTTTTTTCTTCTAAGGGAAGAAATACAGCATTGTGTTCATCTAATGAAATGACATTGAATAACCAGGTAGCCATAAGGAAAGAACAATGCAGTGTCTTTGCCAGATTCTATCCAGATAACTTCAATAATGTAACTCTTTTTTCCCCTCCTTAATATTCATGTGAACAATACTTTGTTTTTACCTATAAGAGCCAGCTTTCTCTCCTACAAGAAAATTAACTTAAATGATTTTTTGATATTTTTGTTAATCTAGAGTAAACTGGGTTTCATTATGTGAAATCAGAATATTTTTTGATTGCAGAACTTTTCAGATTTTTGTGCTGTAGAACCAATAATTAGGCCCTAGGCATAATAAAGTGATCCTTTTCTATCAGTCCTTAGTCAAACACAGTGCAATGGAGGTGTGAAAACTAATGTAAATCCATATCAAGGTTCTAAATAATTATATTTCAAGTAGTTTTTGAAGTTAATATAAGATGTGAATTGTTCTATGATGCATACTCAGCAGTATTAGTACTGTATCTATTGGTGCTTAGACCTTATTATGCTCAGTTGTTTCACCTTAAGTCTATAGTATTCTGTTTATTGACACAAAATTATCAAAGGAAGATGGAAGAGCTATGTAGGATTTTTAGAGTTGTTTATTTGCTATGATGTATTCACTTACACCAAAAAAAATAATAAAACTGACTTAAAAGCAGATGACACTGCAAGAATTTTGGCATTGATCTTTCAGATGTCTTTTAAGATAGTCATTCTATCTTTTATAGATATTTACTTTTAACAGACAATGTGTGTTTCATTGAAAATGTTAAATGGCTTATTATAGCCCTTTGTTCTTTTAAAAACCTAGAGTGTGATTATTATTCAAAATTACAGTCTTCTCTTCACTCCACAGAGTTATAGCTCTAGAAGAAAACTCAAAGTCATAGTTCTCAGAGTCAAGTGTTCCTGGTTATGATCTTGGGCAAACCATTTTTTTCTCTTATTTGTAAGATGAAGATAATATCTCCCTTACAATACCAACCATGTACTAGGTTCCTATTATATGTTAGCTCCCTTGCTTCCCCTCACAGCTTTTACTGCGAAACTCTCTAGGTGGCCTCGGGGACCTATTCAGGCTCACAGAACTAATACATGGCAGAATTAGTTTTAACTAAGTGTTCTGACTCTTGTTTAGAGCAAGAAAATAATAAAATCACCAACAGCAATACTTTTAATTTCCTAATTGTATAGGATTCCATTTCACTTGCCTATTTTGTTAAAATCTTTTCTTTTGTTTTAATTTTAGGCCACTGAAAGGTATGATATATTTGATCCAAGACAGTCCATTTCAGTCCAGAAATCTACAGTGGTGACAAGGACATGGGACTCCTTCTGCCAGATTCCAGATGGTTCAATACAATTGACATCCTGGCTGACAACTGTGAAAAAGAACCTTGGATTATTTTATTTTATTTTTGTGGGACTCCACAATTCCAAATCCATAGGACACATCAGGTAACCTCTCTGGTCACTTGAGAAAAACACATCCCTTTTTCTTTCAAAATCTTACATATAAAAAGGAAGGAGCCAAAGTATCATAAGTAACTCTCTCTCCCCTAGTAACCTTATTATTTTGAGAATTAACCAGTTAACCTTGGCATGGAATATACTTAAGGGAGACATGTTTTTTCCTTCAGTTGAGTCTACTCATGACTTTGGAATTTATTTCTCTTTTTTTAAACTTTTCAGGCATATTTATGGATTTCTGAAATCTATTTAGATATTTAAATGCAAAATATTCCTTCAGGAAAAGAACTCTTGAATTTTCCAGATTTATATTGAGAAGACAAGTTCTACTGATTTTTTTCTCCTCAAGATTTTATCATGAAGTTTTCAGAAAAGTTTAAAGAATTTTACAGTGAACAGCCATTAACATCTTATCATACTTACTTTAACCTGTATCTGTCTGTCCAGTGTATCTTAATTTTTTCTTGGTGCATTTTAAAATAAGTTATTTTTGTTGTCACTACAAAAAAAAAATTGTAGTGGTATGAGGTGATGGATTGTGGTAATCATTTAGTGATACATACGTGTGTCAAACATTTCTTATTACATTTGTACCCCTTGAACTTATTCATGGTTTTATGCCAATTATCTCAGTAAAGCTAGGGGGAAAAGTTTACATCAAGTTCTGCTCTTCAAGTTCACAGTTTCTAAAATGACAGCTATCTGATACATTCCTATTTGATATCCAGTATAAAGTCTCCAGTGTTTTCTTAAACTCACTAAAGATATGAAATATATTGGGATCTTATGTATTTGCTATCCTATGGAGTCCATATACTAGAGCATCTGGTCATGTGTTATTTGAAACTGAATCACACAAGTCAGGAAAGTTTTTAATGCTTGATTCATAATGCCAAATAGTTACTAATACAGATTCACAACTGTGTTTTGTATACAGTATTGCTGGTATTTTTTTTTAATTATTTTCTTTCAGAATTGCAGAGTAATTTAAGAAATTGAGATTTTAGAAATCTAGACGAAAGCTATTATAGGAAAATATTTTTCCCACATGAAATATCCCTTCAGAGAAAAATGATTTCTAATGTAATCTAAATATACATTTATAACTCCAGCCATTACTTTCCATCTCAATATGGCTCATTCCTTAATATTTCTTAAGAACTTTCACAAATGGTATGTACATCAAAATTAGCTCGTACCTCATTGTATGATGATTTTTTTTTATTTGAACATGTCTGCCACTAACCTGTATACTCTTTGAAATCAAGAATTTTGCTTCTATCTGGGTATACGCAACATTATTCATGGAACATAGAATACTCAGTCAGTACAGTAACTAAATGTATGAAACATTTTAGACAAAATTAAATATTTTTTTCTTTCTTGCTAAGGCTTCAAGTTCCGTGTAGAATTCTAAAATAACCTTTGCTGATGAGGATGTCTGATACTGTTACTGTAAAAAATGAAACTGAAACAATGAAGGATTTGGAGGCAGAAGTGAAAGATACAACCAGAGTTGAGAATCTTACTAAATCAGAAAACTATGGGAAGATTTTGGCAGAGAAGAATGAACGTTGTATTGACAACAATATTGATTTGCAGGTAAACAGAATTTTCTCTCTGGCTACCAATACTAAATATTCAATATATAGTTATACTCTTCATACAAAACTCGCTTTCAGAATTCCAAAAGGGTAAGTTGACCTATTGTGACATGCTTGTCAGCTGGTTTTTGAGCCATCTGGATTGTTCAGTCTAGCTTGTTCAGTCTAGCTCTTTGATTTGCTTATATCATATAATTCCTTTCATTTTGTATGTGGCCAATACATTTTTTACTGGCTTTCTACTTTTTTCATTCCACTTTGCATCTATCAGTATTGTGAGAGTTCAGAATTTAACTTAAGAGCTCTTAGAGGATAAAAGAATAGAGTGGTGGAAACTGTAGAAGTTCCATTGGCAGAAACAGCCTTCAGAGGAATCAGTCAACCATGACTGAGAAAAAAAGTTGCTGGGTGGTGGAGAAAGTCACTTGAGGTTTTTGATGCTACACATATATGATGACGTAAAACTAACCACTGGCGAGGCTTTTAATTCCAAGCATAGATGGAAATTGAGGAGTTGGTCAAAGATTCAAGATAGTAAAAATTGTTTCAAGTAGTACTTACAGTATTCAGTTCTAAGTGTTCCACTTATCTCTTGCTTTGTAACAGATTACCACAAAACCAAGGACTAACCATTTTAAAACAGAAACTTGCTAAAACTCTATTGCATTTTATTTTTTAATATCATGATTCGTGAGTTAGGAAAGGGAACAAGGGCTTGGCTGAGTGAATTTTCTACTATACAAGGAGTCAAAAGAAGGCCCCAGCTGATATTTAACTGGCAGATGGGCTGGTCTGGAAGGTCCAAAACTGTTTCACTCACATATGTGGCACCTTGGTGCAAATGGCTGGGATGTAGGCTGGCTGGAAGTGAGAACACCTACCTGCGGTCCCTCTAGCATGTAAACCCCAGGATAGTTAGACTATTTTAGGGATCCCAGAAAGAATGTTCCAAGAGCCAAGCAAAGCTGCAAGGTCTTTGAAATGGGCTCAGAAGTCTCAGTATGTTACTTTCATTGTTGTCTTTTGATAACACACGTCAATAAAACCAACCTAGATTCAGGGCAAGGGGAATTAGACCCTGCCTCTCAGTAGAAAAGACCTTTCTTTAATCTACTGCAAAAAGTTATCTCAAAATACTATCTTTAATACTTATGTTTTAGTTTAGCCAAAGAATAAAGAATTCTATTGGAGGAAATAATCTGTTGTTCTTTCTATGTCCTAAAGACCTTGAGGGCTACATTTCAAAAATTATACCCTCACTTTTTATGATAAGTAAAGAAGTCTCTTTTAAAGGTTCATTCCCTCATTCAGTCAAAGTTTATTTTCCACTATGTGCCAGAAATGTGTTAGAAAATGATAGCAGTTCATACAGCTATAAAAAAGCATTTAGGCCCCACTGAGTAAGTCTAGTCAAGTGGCAATTATGTAAGCAATTGGGAGGAATAACATTTTTTCTAGTCATTTTTAGTAATAGCACTTTTTAAACAAAAAATTGCCATGCCTGCAATCAGTACACTCAGTGATGGCAGCATGCCAGTATTCTGATTAAATCAGAGAAAATCTGCTAAGATTCTATTGCATTCGTGATTAAAATACTAAAAGGTTTCCTTTAGTCTCTTTCAGTACCTGATATTTACTCTTCCAGGTCGTGTTTATCAACAGGCGATTAACCTTTAGTCTCTTTCTTTACCTGATATTTACTCTTCCAGGTCGTGTTTATCAACAAGCGATTAATTTGGATTATTGCCTTTTATACAACCAAGTCTGTTGTATTGCCCTTGGCAATAAGCACAGAAATGTTCTGATGACCACTATTAGATGGACCACTGTAATATGGCCCAGTTGTTAATACCATAGGAAAATTTCATGCATTCCCCAAACATTTACTGAAAATGTATTCTGTGCAAAGGAAGTACTATAATAAGCAAAAATGGGCACGGTCTCTGACACCCTGTTCCATGTAGCATGGTGACTGTAAAGATTGGAAGGAGGAACAGAGAACATTGAATGCTATATTTATTGATTATCCAAATGTTTATTAAGAATTATAATGTGTGGGAATATTTGCTCTGCTTGGAGCTTTTTGAGGTCCAAGATGCCTCCATCAAGATGTCTGGCAGAGGCTTGGAGTCTAAATAACTCACACAGAAGAGATTTAAGTAATGGAAATTAGGAATGGAAGACAAAAGTGGATAAAAAATGAAGAGATGTCATAGCTTCTTCAGTACTATAAAGAAATCTTATAATTTTCTACTATCTGTAAATGATAGCATTTACATAAAAAAATAATTTTATCAAACTAGAGAGAGGCCAGCAGACATCACCTTGGATGGTTCCAAGTAGAGATTATCTCATGGACTCCTTGACCATTTCTTTTTTAAATCTGCTTGCATAGTGCTCTACTCTTTAAATATGTTGTGTTTTTTATTCAAAGTTTTGTTTTGGACTATAATCTTTTATAAGTTTTAGGACTACTTACTTAAGAATTTCTTAAGAATACTTTAGAATTAATTCAAGTAGTCTTTGTGCATTAATGTCAAGAAGTTAACTTTCCCACCTAATTGCTATGGAGTTGTTCTTGTTAATAATGGTCCAAAATAGTTTGCAACGCATTAACTTAGTAAGTTTTCTACTGCCACACACTATTTCTATTGCCAGTCTTAAGTTATATGATGGACTTTCTTTGATCATTATGTATTTGAAAGATTGGAGTGGTGAGGTGTCAGGTTCCTAAATCTAGAAAAATTTTAATTTGTTAGACTACTACTACTATTTAACATAGGATAAATAAGGGAGGGGTGTTTGCTTCGTTTTCCTTTGTATAACTTATTTATATGGCCTCTAATGTTTGATTTTTCTCAGGGTTAGATTTCTCAGATTAAATTAAGGTAAATTATTTGTGTTGATTTTTGCCGTCATTTACTTGAAATGTAAAATTAGGAATCTTGTGTTCTGCTTATTAGCGATTCAAACTCAGCATTCTCATTTATTTACAGTTATATCTTTGTACTTGACGAATGCTTTGTCTAGGGGTATTCATCTGTATATATGTGCATATAAACACAATCTAACACATATTTTGGAGCAGTTCAATAATTCCTCGCCCCAAAAGCTATTAAACTATTGGATGGCCAGTCCAAGTTTTGTTCAGAATTCTTGTTGTGGAGGAAATAAGAGAACTGATTTTTGTTAACTAGGCTTTATGTGCCAGAGTGCCTGAACAGCTTCTGATATATATGAGTGAATTTTCCATACACATAATCAGTTGAAGGAGGTGTTTAGTATATTCTTAATTTCTGTAACAAGCCTTTTGATAATCAAGATGAGACTTTTACATCTTGTATCTCCCAAGTTCTATTGCATTTCTTTAAAAAGAGGAGGATAGGGCCAAGTAAGGGACAGGAAAGCAATGTCAATCTATTAATATTATCAGAAAAACTCAGGATACAGGCTACACTTCTCCAACAGTGAGGTTAATGGGCATCACATTTCTTAATAAAATGTGAAAAAATTTCTGTTTAAAGGGTTGAATAAAAGTCTATCTTTATAAAATCATACAATTCTTAACTATTTTTCTATTTGTCTAACAAAGTGAAAAGGATGTATGCAATGTACCTGGTACATAGTTAGAGCCTAACAATGGTAGATGATATTAATATTCATAATCATAATTGTTTTATTATTAGCAATAGCACACTATATGGCTTCTCCTACTGGTCCCTTTATTATCATGAAATGTAGATTAAAAAGTAAAATTTATTTCTTAATATAAGCTCTCAGAAATTGCAATGCAGTAGTTTTTGTTCTTTGTATTAAGTTCCCTACCTTTTATGGTCTTTTATATTTAAGAAGTTCAACTTTTTAAAAAGTCCACTCTTCTAACTCAGAAAACTTTGTTGTTTTCTGTTATTCCAGTAGAAATCATCAACCTAGCCTCAATTGTTTTTACTGCTCCTGACCTTTAGTTATACATTTAACATTTTAATTCATTATTGTAATTACTATTAATCCTTACTGTTGCCTTGAAAAATAATGAGAATTAGTGAGCTCTTCAAGGTGTATTAAGAGTCTTACTTGAAAGATGTCAACCATAATAATTTATTTTGTTCATAATAATTACAATGAAAATTGATCCTCTTTTTGAAATAAGTAAATTTCCTCTTAATTGAGTGATATTAATTGGTGGGTATTTTGATGCTGAGACAATATAACTCAAAGATTATTCTGTTTTTTCTTAGCAGTACATAAATCTCATGGTTTATGATTTCAGTACTTCTGTTATTCTTTCCTTTGATAATAAAGAAACATTAAATAGATTTAACTGTCTTAGCAGAACAAAGATAGGCAAAGAAAATTACTGACAATATTAGACCAAATAGACATTGTGATAAGCAAAGAAACATAAGAGAAAAAAAACCTGTTTACTACCCCTTTATATGGAGTTGACTGCATAGACTCATGTTTTTGTTTCTTTTGTTATTAGTTGTGAAAGCTTTCTGGTTTGGAGTAACACTTAAGATACAGATAATGTTTTGAGGATTCTTTCAAATTCATATTTTGAAATAAATTTTAAATCTGTTTAAAACTACTTTATTGCCAACAAAAGACCAAAGTACTAAAATCACCAACCATATTTATTTCTCTTTGCTCTCAAATCTACAAGGCAGTAAATTAAAAAACGTCTATGTTTATTATAATAGTACAACTTAACCATTTATTATTGAACCTCAGTTTTTGTCCAAGTTAGTAGCTAGTAGCTCTGACAATATATTATCAGTTTGGAACTGAAATTCCATTAAGGATGTTTCATATTCTGTATCCATTTTTTGGCCTAATTTTGGTCCTATGCTTTAGTATCAAACAATATAAATTATAAAGTGAGGGTTTGCCCCTAAGCTCTCTAAATTCTAATATGATTCTCTTTCCTGGAGTAGTGAAGGTCTGTTAAACAAGCTGCTAGGACAGTGAAATTTTGTTAAAAGTGAAAAGTAAAAATAA